TTTAAAATTAATATTAATTATATATGTAATAATGACTTGTGTTTCTTAACCAAGATATTTATGAATTTTTATTTGGTATAACTTTGTATTTATTCACGATTTTCAACAAAGGTTAATCACCATATAAATATTATTATTACTTTTTTTTTATAGAAAAAAGTATATACTATTTTTAGTTATTTGATTTATTGATAGGGTTAGTTTAATTTATTAGTCATAATTACATAGTTTTTTGTTTGATGAGAATAAAGGGAACAAGAGGAGCTCATATAAATTTTTCTTGTTTGATTTAATTTTTAGGAGCTAGATGAAGCAAAATCTCTCCTCACCTAAATAAATTTAGCTCCCCTCTAATATTGGAGAGATTTAAAAGAATGAAAAATTTTAAAATATTTTTAGTAGGGACAAAAGTATTTACCCACACTAAACTTAACATTTTTTTACAAATTGACATCCTAAACTTTAATTTTATCCTAATTAATCCTTAAATTTTATCTCATTTATAAATAAATACCATAAACTTTAATTTTGTTCCAATTAATTCTTAAATTTTACCTTTTTTTTACAAATAAACATTATCAAACTTCATTTTAAATAATATTTAAATTTTATCATTTTTTACAAACAATTTTTTTATTATCAATTTAGAGTTCAGTTATTTATCTTAAATATCAATCTATCATTTTGGTACAACTATTTTTCAAATAAAATAAAAATATGAATTTATTAAAAAAGAGAAGAAGAAAAAGATAATGATAAAAAAGTATTTATTTGGTTTTTCTAATTCTAAAAGTTTTATGATATTTTAATATTGATTAAATTACAATTTTAGTCCCTCTATTTTTTATTAATCTGTAATATTAATCCCTCTATTTTAAAATAAAGACATTTAATCTCTCTAATTTTAAAAATATAAAATTTGAAATTGACATTTATTAATAATTAATTTTTAACATTTACTCATGTAATGTGACATTTAGTAACACAATGTTTAAAAATAAAAAAATTATAAAAATATACAAATAAGATTTTTATTAATAAAATAAACATCAATTACTAGTAAAAATAAATTTAAAAATTTGTTTTTTTTTAATTTTTATTCATATATAACATGTAATTAAATATCATGTTTTTTAAAATAAAGTGACTAAAATCTCTATTTTAAAATAGTTAGACCAAAATTGCAAATCAATAAAAATAAAAATATCAAAAGTACTATTTAACTAACTTTTAACATATAGAAGAGTAACATATGAAAATAAAACTAATGTGTACAAATATCTAATAATTAACTATGAATTTAAATAAATAAATGATTGATATTTTTTCTTTCTTGATAGTTTAATCATAATATTATATAAGAGATTATTGAAAAAATAAATAAATTTTGGGATTTAATTAAAGTAAAATTAAAATAAAGATATTTATTTGTAAAACATAGTAAAGTTTTGAGTATCAATTATACAAAATCAAAATTCATGGTAACAATTACAACACTGATCTGATCATTTTCATGGCGTTAAGTTTTCTTCATTATCTAGTATGTGAGTTAGCGAGGCGCATTCACAAAAATTACTGAGGTCAATTATTAAAATGAATTTTCTTTGGTATCATGTGCACAATCGTGATATCAATTCTCCAATCAAATGTTAGTCTACATAAAGAAATTTAATCCAGCCAGTTCTCCAAAATTCCAACATTAAATCTGTTCTTACTTGCCCAGGGAATAAAATTTGAAATGCACATGTTACCCTAAATATACTTCCTATTAATCGACTTCAAATACAAGACAGGACACACAAAGTAGATGCCAGTGCATAGCTGCCTGTTCCTGATCTCCTTTCAAACTTATCATACTCATAATACTGAATACACCCAAATATCGATTGCTCTCCAGTTATTATCAGGCATCTTATCATACTGATTGCAGAGAAACCCAAATAAGCACTTATTAAGTACTTATTAATCAAGTGTTTATCGTATAAGTATTTGTGTGCAAGTTATGTATATAATTGAAGAGAAAATGGGGTTAAATTATTTTCATAATTTACCCTGAAGAGATTATTAATTGAAATAAGTTAAAAACAGCTTATGGATAAATCATAAACTATTTTCAAAGTTTTACCAAACACTTACACAAATATATATGCCATAAGTCCAAATAAGTTATAAATAAGCTCTTCCAAATGCATCCTATGTATTAATTGGTTTAGACACGAGATACCCAAAATAGATATCAGTGCCAGCAGCCTGACCTTCTTTTAAGATTTCATACTAAATACTAATGGCAGAATATTATACTGAATATACCTAGAATCCTAGATACTGATAATATAATGCTAGTTAGTACATGCTTAGCAGATGATTATTTTGGGAAATAATCACATTTTTATTATTAAAAAAAAAAAAAAAAAAACACTTAGGACGCTGGTAAAAAAAGTGATAATTTCTTCAAAATAGGCTAAACCAAACACATTTAGTTTCGGGCAGCTTATCATACTAATTGCAACAATGCCAGAAGTAAACTAGAAGCTAGTTAGTATCAGACTCTCAGAAAATAACATTTGTAGCAATGATCTCCATACAACTGAGGAGTATGGATTAAAGTCCCAGTGTGATAACTACTATCGAAGTCCTAGATGCCGGGTGATCAATAATAAGAGCATTGTAAATTAGACATCAATTTGATGTTTAAGAAAAAAAAAGGAAATAACACAATACTCACCTAGGCATAATAAATAAGCCATATAATAAAGCAAAAACTTGATGTTTAGTTATTACTTTACTATATCACCTTCCTGAAAATGAATAACACAGCAACTAATTTACAAGAGACACCATCGTAGAACAATTGTTAGTTAACAAAATTTGACTTATGTTTTGGATGTTACAACAAATAACCACTAGTATCAGCGACAATAAGTTTACATATACTATAATATAGAATTGAAGTTGAAATTCATTTTCTTTAAAAGAAAAAATAGGGAGCTATACTTGTAAATTAAGGAAAAGATTTATCTTTGCTCTCCAGTTCACATGAATCTGAATCACTTGCTCTGTAACCTGATTGTCAACAAAATAGGGACCAATCAGGAGACACAAAACCGCAATTCATTAATCCAACAAAAAGAAGAGCTTACCTGGCCGTTTACCACACACTTTCCAAACTGAATTTCGATTCCTTGAAGCTTTAGAAATCCAAACATGTCCCTATAAACAAAGCTTGTTACAGTACAGTCAGTAACCTGAAGTTGAGGAGCAGCGAATATCATTCCAAAAAAATCCAAATCAACATCAGTCAAGGGTCTTGTTTGCCAGTTGAGCAAGATTCAGAAGCCTTAACAGCCCCATCCACCAAAGCAATTCAAGAAAAACAGGCTCACAACTAAAAACTCAAAACAGGCAATTGAATTCATGCGTATTCTTTTTAATAAACAGCAACAATACAATAAAAACCACTAGTAACAGTCTAATAAAGGAGGATTGGATTAGTATTCACAAAGTCTATGTAGTCATTGTAATCTTGCCTACTAATAAAAACAAACAACAAAATGATAAAAATTGTAATACAAGAAAAGGGATTTAAATTTTCAAATCAAAAAACCAATAAAAAAATTTCCAACATCTCTGCACTCCATCTCAGTTCCTTTTTCAAGGAGGGAAAAATTATCATCATACATTCACTTTTTCTTCCATCTCACTTCCACCCCATTTTCTTTCTATCTCTCTTCTTTTATCATCACATCATCTATCACTTTTATTACTTTCTCTCTCTATGTCCCTCTTATTTCCAACCCCCAATTCATCTAAAAATGGGGTGGATGATTATCATTACCAGGAACAAAATCACGTAACTTTGGCACCAAATGGTGGGTAACTTAACAAAACTAGGTGCTAATACATATGACCATAATCCAATATCAATTATAAAAATACCTTTTGGGGGTCCCTTGTAACACCATAGCCAGAGTAATACATTTGACCAACCAAAACCTGCATGGCAGAGTCCCCAGCCTTAGCCTCCTTGAGAGTGTCCTGGAACCAGCGCTTGGAGCAATCGGCGACAACCTTGGCGAGGGGTGTCCGACATTGTTCCAAAGATTCCATCTTTTTCACAGTTTCGACCTTAACAGCACTTGGGTTAGCACTCCGAGGGGTTGCCACACGGTTTGGCGATCTGGGTACCGTTCCTTTTGGCCTTTGGGGTTTCGCAGATGACACAATTCGCGATAGCCCTTCAAGTCTCGCAGCAGATTCAAGATATTTTCCCATCAAATCTAATCTCGCCCAACAACAACAAAAAAAATAAAAGGTTTGTTGCTTTTATTTTCAGTTTTTTTTTTTTTTTTAAGTGGACGCTGTTGTTGGGGAAGACAAAGATCTTACATCTTATATCTAGTATAGTATGCAACTCGAATTGGTTAGATCTTGAAAAAATATGAGCACCCTATGTTAACTGTGGTAAGAGGAAGATAATCAAATCATAGTTTGATACAAAATAGCAAAAGGGTTAGGTCCAAATGCCAAGAACGCTTTTAATATTTTATAGAGATGAATAGTAACACACTCATGATTATATTTTTTTTTATTGATTATAATTTATTGCAAAATACAAAATTAAAAAAATATATTAAATAGACCCTGTGAAAATATTAGCGATTTGAAGTGTACGGGTAAGAGCATTCGGCCACTACATAACCGATACTCCTTCGACCTCCAAATAGTCGAACTTAGTAATTGACATCTGATCGGCCACGAGTAGTCGAAATTTCAAGCAGAGTGCATCATGGACTCAGGGATTACTCCTAATCAAGAATTAAGGGCTAATCACACCAATAAGTCAATTAAGGATGTATTATTTAATATGACAATCTTATTACAAGGTCCATGGAAATCAGGACTCATTTATGTCAGTATAAATAGTTCATGTCACGAGATAACGTCACTGTTCATTAATTATTATCAATATTTGTGCTTGTCTTGACTTGAGCGTCAAAGTGCCTTTTGCATATATTTTCTCTCTCACCAGAATATTCACTTGAAATTCTCATTCAACCCTCAGAGTACAAGAAGATTACTAGTGTATCCTTCCTTCGTACATGTACACGAATGACATAACACGTTAAAATATAATATTAGCAATAATACTTTATAAGACATCTGATTTTCATTTAGATGAAATCGTGGGTTAAATGTATATATACTAGCATCGGTACCCGTGGAATCAATGTGTCAATTTTAGCATCGAATATATATATAGTATGTAATATTAAACAAAACAACTGAACTAAAAACATACATGTAGTTGTTTGAAAGACAAATCAGTAGACATTTATTCATGTTCAAAGTTATTTAGGTTCACAGTAGTTAAACTACAAAGTTAATTACATTAAAAAAAAAAAAAGATGATAGAGTAATTCCTAAATTTTGATTTCAGTCCAAAATATTCTTCAATTTATCTATTATTGATTTCACATAAAGTTATTTAATCCTGAAAGATAATAATAGTAATTTCGTCAGGTTATTGGAATATGTTGTGATAATATCAAAGTCTTTGATAATTCAAATAAAAAGATAAACATAAATTTATATTTGTATAATTGTCTATTAGAAAAAGATCTTTTTAATGATATTCAAAAATAAAATTATGAAGGTTTAATTTTAAAGTGAAGAATATATGTATCTAGTTTGATTAGATAATTAATGATAAAATTGATAGGTGGATTCAAACATAAAAAAAAATTTTTGTGTCGAAAGTCTTCCTAACATAAAATATTAAAAGATAAAATTACTTAAAGCAATGATGTAAGTATTTAAAATAAAACTTTTAAAAATTAATCCTTTAAAATTATGAATTTTTTAACATCTATTATTAGATATTTAAAGCTATAATAATTATATTTTTCATTTATATCAAACACAATTATTCATTGTAAACTCTCATATTATACGTGTCTATGAATTAAACTCATAATAAATTCAAATAAAATTAAATTGATCTATTTTATAAAAATTGATCAATTAGTGAGTTTATATTTTATAAATTTGATCAGTTTGATTTTATAAAAATATAGATTAAACTTTTTAAAAATTAGATTTGTTTAAAATAATATAATTATTCTCTTTTTACAATTAATTTTTTTAAAAAGAATAAAATCAAAACAACCTATTATTATAAAAATGGATAAGACAATCAAATGGATTTTACAAGATGTATCGATTCAGATTTTTTCTTTAAATGAATCGTTCACTAAAAACACAAAATAATCAATATTTATCGCCTTTATAAAATATTTGCAACCTTTGTCGATAATCAACATTGCTAGCCATTTTTTGGGTGGTAGAGTTTGGGTGTCACCTTCCTTAGTCTGTTAATTATGTGGATCCGTTGCATCATCAAACTTGCACCTCAGTCCTCAGGAGAGTCACCACCAACCCAAGTGGCAATCCCCTAGACCCTAGTCGTCTTCTTATCTGCAAAGTCGAGCCCCACAAAATCAAATCAAAATGCACACCAAAGGACACACACATGACACATACACAAGGACGGAGCCAAGGGGGACCTACGGGTGCCACGGCCCCCCCAACAATTTTAATTTTTTTTTATATACATATATATTACTATATGGCACCCCCTATTTTTAATATAAACTCATATGTATAATTAAATGAATAACCCAAATTTATTTTTTTATTCAACTTTTGGATTTCTGGTACGGCCTGCTATGTGGTATCACTTTGGAATTTATTCTCAGCCCCCCAGTATTGAAATCCTGGCTCCGTCCCTGCACATACACATACCTTTTCGTTATTCATTACTAAAGAAACATCTGTAACTCCAACCAAGAACCAAAACATCAACAAATATTCATCATTATACTTCAACTCCAATGCTCAACACTTTCAATCTAATTTAACTTCATATTTTTTTTTATATAATATTCATTTACCTATTTTCTCTTATACAAATAAACGGAAAAATCTCCTTTTTTATTTATTTTTTCTTTAAACAACGCATATTTTTCTATTTCTATTCTATAATTATTATTTTTATTTTGTACCTACAAATAAACAAATAAACTTCTTTTGTCAAAAAGCTTTTATTTTTTGGTATTGGGCCTGGACACTAGCCGACCCAACGAAGTAGGGTTTTTTTATTACAAAAACGAAGAAGAAAAAGAAAAAGCTTAGAGTCTTGTTAGGTGTTGTTGATAAAAAAAGAGAGTCATTTATCTTCTTGCATTGTTTAGGTCTTCTGAGTGAGGGTTACCATTTGTTCCAAACACTCAGCTTAAACAAAGGTACCGTATTTACTGCTTTAATCACCATTTTGTTTTACCTTGTTATGGTTTATGTTTATTATTGGTTGCTTTTCACCTCTATGTGATGTTTTTTTTTCTCCGAGTTTGGGTTCTTTTGTTGTGATTAATATACTCTCCAATCCATCTCTCTCTTTTTTGTATATGGGATTTCGGGAAATAGATTTTTCTTTCGTTTCTGTTTCATCAATCGGTTCAGGGCTTCCAACATTTTCGAATAACAGGTTATTTTTCTTCTTCTAATGCAAAGTGCATCTTTGTGGAAAATGTTGGAAAGGAAATTATAATGGTTGCTTTTTATTGTTTTCTTATGTGAAAGACGGAAAGTGGATAGGTGGTTTGGAATAACCAATTCAACTAAGGGTCATTATGTGTCGCAATTGGCTTTTTAGTTGAGCTTTTATGATAGCCTCCGAGGATGAACAAAAAGAAAAACTTTCGTTCTTCCGAGTTGTTTCAATGTGGAAAATTATTGGAGACCTGAACTGAGGAGGCTGTGTTGAAGATCCTTCTGTATTCTATATTCTAATTTATTGATGTTCTTCAGATTGGATGTTGTCATTTAATATTCGGAATGCATCTTCTATCTAGTATTGTTTGTTTGATGTAAGATGTTGTAGATATCTTTTCTAGAATATGGACTTGGTGAAGCAATTAGCAAACTTGTGGGCTTTATTTAACTTAGGTTTGTCACCTTGATGTGATATGATACAATACGATCTAGTATTGTAGTTGGATTCACTTTGTGTTTGCGCCCAAGCTTAAGAATTAAGTCCTGGTTTGATGGGTAACACAACGTCTTTTAAAATCTAATTGTTTTCTTTCATTATAGAATTAAGTAGCTTATCAACTTTAAACTTCTGTTATGAATTTGTATATTGATTTGTTTTGGATGGCCACTCTTAGACGTCCATATAAAATTATTACTCCTGCTTTTAGCATTTATGTCATGTATGCTTGATTGTTGGTCACGCTTGTAACCAAGTTTAATTGTTGGTCTTTTGTCTGCCTTTATAATGTATTCTTGTTGCTATTCGTTTTTAGATCTTTGTCTGGTCTTAGTTGGTTGTGGTGAAATTTATTTTTCTCTTTTTGCCTTTCACCAGATGAATCGGGAAAGGTTGATGAAGATGGCCGGTTCGGTTAGAACTGGAGGAAAGGGTACCATGAGAAGGTATATCCATACATTTAACCCAGCATTTCATCTAAATGAAATCAGATTTCTTATCAAGCATTATTTGTAATATTATATTTTAACATGCTACGTTCTTCAAAATGCTTTGTTAAATCTTTAGTCTCACTGGATGTAACATTAGCCATATAACAACATATGAAATTTTTAGATTTTCTCTTATCCCCCTCCTTTTTTCACTTATTTGAGGCTTTGCAACCATTTCTTGTGTTTTTTGGAATTAAACACAGCATGTATCTATTTTGTTGAAATTTCCCTTCATGTTTGGTCTTCTCTTTTTTAGAAAGAAGAAGGCTGTCCACAAGACAACAACCACAGATGACAAAAGGCTTCAGAGCACCCTGAAGAGAATAGGTGTCAATGCCATCCCTGCAATTGAGGAGGTCAATATCTTTAAGGATGATGTAGTTATCCAGTTTCTAAATCCCAAAGGTAATATCAATCTGCAGTTTTTACAACATATATATATATATATATATATATATTATTAATGTACTAGCTTTCTTTTTATGTTTCTTCAATTATTTCAAGTCAATTATTACAAGTTGGTAATTTTTATTTCCAGTGCAAGCATCCATTGCCGCCAATACTTGGGTTGTCAGTGGTTCTCCGCAAACAAAGAGTAAGCAATTATATCTCTTTTCATTGTTGTTGTATGCATGGCTCTGCTTTTTTATTTTTTATTTCCTCTTTGAGAACATTGCCAATTTATCTGTACATGTTGCAAAAGAAATGTAAATAATAACTTTGGCTGTGTTGGTATTCAGGTTATACCATACGACATAGGGTTTAATGCATCAAGGACATAAACATTTGTGTTTAGTATATCTGAAATTTTTTATGTCTTAGTATACTATAGCAATGCTTCCCCCAATTTCTAGATTTGTAGACTGGTGCGTCTTTGGTTCAGTTTATTTTAGATAAATAAAGTCTCATTTTTGTCAACATTCAAAGAGAATTTTTGAAAAATAAGCAATTGGGTCTTCACTGATTTGTGAGT